TGTGTTCTCAGGGCCTTCCAGATCCAGGGTTCTGTGCTCTGAGGGCCTTTCCAGATCCAGGGTTCTGTGTTCTCCGGGCCCATCCAGATCCAGGGTTCTGTGCTCTGCTGGCCCCAAATCTGCACTCCTGTGATTCCAAGGCCCTTGGTAGTGAGGGCCATAGGGGTAGATAGTAAATCTCAGATCTTACTTAAAGTGGCACAGGGGCGGGTTTGGGATCAGAAACCAGGTCCTTAGACTCTAATTCATTATCCCACTGGAGCGATGTGCAGCATTCTAGGACTCTGATTATAAAGCCCCTCCCAGTCCTGACACTTCCTGTTCTAAGGCCCCTCCCAGTCCTGACATCCCCTGTTCTGAGGCCCCTCCCAGCCCTGACATCCCCTGTTCTGAGGCCCCTCCTAGCTCTAACATTCTCTAATGGCCTTTCTAGCTCCAACTTTCTAAGTTCTGTGATTCTAAATTCTCTCCCACCCCTCGGTTCTAACGCTATTCTTTTTCTTTTTCCTCTCTACCTCATCCCACTAAAAAGGGATGAAGAACCATTTTTGAGTTGCTAGGATCTGGTTCAGGATGGGCACTGGGGACAGGAACACAGACTAAAATGAAGTGACTTCAGGCCCAAGGTCCAAGGGATTGTAGATGGAGCAGGGGAGATCTTTAACAACTAAGTCTCATCAGGAAAGCAGGCTCCCGGCTTAGGCCTGAGGGAGGAAGGCAGCCAAGTAACGCTCAGAAATGAACCCTACTAAGAGATCTTGAAAAAGAAGTTCCCCGGTGGTTCGCGGGGCACTTAAACTGCCCGGCCCTGCCCACCACCCTCTCAAGGAAACACATCACTGCAGAAAGAATGCCTGGGCCCTTTGCCTGCTCCCCCTGGCTAGAGCCTCCCCCTCTGCAAACTTTTCACCCATCCTCTTGGCTTTGTGTTGAACAGGCCGCAGGGTGAGCGAAGGGAGCTCCTGCTTTGGAGTTTTTCCATAATGACATTTTTGCCCTGGGCCAGGAACCTGGAAGCTTTCATAAAATAAAGGAGATTGGAGGGCCGAGGGAGCCGTCAGCCCAAGGGCACCTGATCTGGCTTGGGAGCCTGCCATTCAGGGTTCTCCACCCAGCCCTGCAATGCATAGGATTACAAAAGATGCCAATTTTATTTAGATTTTTAAAAACAAGCTCACAGCCGCAGTTAAGAACCCCTGAACTCAATGATCTTAGAAGAGTGAAAAAAAGGAGAGGATCCAAGTGCCCATCTCTGCTCTGCTCTTTACTTCCTGTATGACTTTGAGTAAGTCACTTCCCCCTTGGCTGTAGAATGAAGATGTTTGACTAGAGGTTTTCCAAAGTCCCTTCTAACCCTTACTCACCAATCCTCTGCTCCTTCCAAAACACCGTGATTTTAACTTTCTACTTCTCTTATTCTGTTTCTTGTTTTTGTTTCATTGTGTCTGGCTCTTCGTGACCCCATTTGGCTTTTTCTTGACAAAGATACAGTATTTTGCCATTTCCTTCTCTAGCTCATTTTACAGATGAGAAAACTAAGGCAAACAGGATGAAGTGACTCAACCAGGGTCACACAGCTAGTAAGTGTCAGGCTGGATTTGAACTCAGGTCTTCCTGATTCTGGCCTGGCGTTCTACCCACTGTGGCACCTAGCTGCCCCAATTTTCTATTTCTGTTCTACTTCTGTTATTCTTTTACTATCCTATCTTAGAAAGGCACAAAGTCTACAAGAAAGTGTCTGATCTAGACGGAAAGCATTGCGAGCTGGGATGGCTAATGGCAGGAATAGTTAATTCTTCAACTTGTCTTGAGCTATGACCTCTAGGACCTTCCCATCCCCCATCTTATTTTGAAAACATCCATTCCCCCCTCTCCCCAAATTTCCACTTTCCCCAGCTTCCCCTTATATTTGGTCCCGACTAGTGCTTTTATCAGTTCAGGGAACTCTACCCATAGAAGGTCTTCCCACTCGCAGCTATGCAAGTTCAAGCCTCAGAAGAGTTGGTTGACATTGAGAGGGAAAGTGCCTGGCCCATGGTCACAGGGCTAGTTGGTATCAATGGCAGGACTCGAGCCCACGTCTTCCCGAATCCAAATCTGGGCCTCCATGCACTGTAGTGTGCCCTCTTGAAACCCCCATAGATGTTTTGTTTTTTTTCTCCATCAGCCAAAATAATAATAATAATAATAAGACTATTCTCAGAGGGTTATCACCTTTTTGCCAAATTACTTCTCAGAGTAGAATGATTTTCAGGTTAAAATAGTCTTTAGAAAAAGGGGGTGATGAGAAATTTGTTCTCCATCCATGGCCCTGTGGGTGAGAGTGAGTTATTTTCCAAAGGGGTTCATTGGGAGAGCTGTGCAGCTGCTCTGCCGTTAAAGGGAGAAAGCTGTTGTGTGTGGGTCCCCTTAGTCTGTGCAGACGTCGCGGCCCATTTGGAGACACCACCACAAGGACGCTGGCCTCGGCATCTGCAAACCTGGCACCCGGGCTGGAGATGGAACTGATGTCCTGCTACTTCCCCTCGGGTCTTCTGGGTCAGAGCAAAGTGAGGGACTTGAAAGTTTCACACCATCCAGAGAAAGGGGCAGGCAGGGGAGGGCGAGCCTGTTTAGCATTAACAGGGCAGAGACCGGAAGGCATAGATTAGCTACTGAACTGCGCAGCAAAGAGCATCCCCAGGGCCTCCTGTGGACAGATCTGTGTCAAAAAGGAAAAAAAAAAACAACTGAATGGGCTGGAAACGCAATGAGTTTAGCCCCATCTCTTGGGCCGGCTCCATCTGCTCTCAGGGTTACCATTGCTCAAACCACATGATAGCCACTGGTAAAATTTGAGAGTGCTGATTTTGGAGTCAGAGGACCTGGGTTCAGATTCTGCCTGTATTCACTAGGTGTGTGACCTTGAATAAGTCACTTCCCTCGGCATCAGTTCCTCATCTGTAAAAGGTGGGGATGGGACTAGAAGATCTTGTGGGTTCCCATCCAGACCTAAATCTGTAATCCTATGCATATTGCCAATATATTTGGGATTCCCTTCTCTGGCTCACTGTAAAAAGCTTAGGAGAGCTCTGAGGATGAGGAAGAACCCACATTGGATACTGGGGACCAGCTTTGTCTTCCTTTGGCAGATGGAGGCTTTCATACAATGCCACTCACTTGCCTCAGTTTCCCCAGTTGCATTCCTTTTCAAGGAAGGGTCAGTTTCATCCTCCTTCCTGAGCTGCAGCTGCCTCTGGTTCTCAGCACAGAATCACAGGGCAGCATGCAGACTAGGAGGTGGGAAGGAGCTCTGGAGATGCCATGTTATTAGTGAAATCATGTTCCAATACTTGGACTCTCTGTCTGCTTTCTCCACCGTCCCTGCTTTCATTCTCAGTCTCAGTCCACTCAGCTTTTCCTGCAGACAAGGCAACAGGACACATCCCCATCTCCCTGAAAAGAAAAATTTTAAAATCACCTCCCTCTCATGCTTGCATCTCATTATAGGACAAGCACTGCCCATCTTGTCCACTCTTCACATGCCACAGCACAGATTGTTCTGGTTGTTCCCGAGTGTGATGTTGTATGTTTGTCGTAATCAACACAAATACACACAAAGCAAGATACTCCCTTTGTAGAAGAAAATACAGCAGTGCCTCTATGTGTCAGATTGACTCCTGCACCCCAGCCTGGAGGCATTGAACTCTCCCTAGAGAAACAGACGCAGACCTGAACCATCGGTGGGCTCTTGCCAGCCAAAATAGTTAGGCGGTCTCCTTATCACACCATGGATGCTTTGGCCATCCACCGCATGCCAAATGATGCTGCTTGATCCCCAATGTCCAACCGTGTGTTTTTTAGTCATCTGTCCTTCTGGTGAATATGTATGTGTGTGTGCACGAGTAGGTGTGGGTTTACCCCACAGATGTGTAGATATACATATATGTACCTATATATATATATATATACATATGAATATAGAGACAATTCGAACCCAGTAATTTTTTACCACCTGCTCCACCCACACGCAAATCTCTCCCACACGCATCATCCTGAAAGATCTCTAGTGATACCATGTTGTGACTCTCTGTCCTTTGGAAATACGGGTTTTTGTGGGGTTTTCGTTTTCATCTTTTGTAAAGTAGAGTGTTCAGGTCCAGCCTCTGGCATGGCATCTTCAAAAGGAGTGTCCCTAACTAGATGAGTCCTTCCTCCTCTCCCCCTTCCCTGCTTGGTGGTTTCTTAGCTTCACTTGCATGAGAAGAGCTGTCTCCCCTCCCTCCCTCCTTGTACTGTAATTATAGTTTTTACAATTGAGTGCCTTAATGATACTTTACAAATACTATGTATTTATGCTAAGCTCTTCCACTCCACTGATCCCATAGGTGATGGCTTTTTTAGTTTCTGGGGGCAGCCCGCTGTTTGGACATTGGGCATGTCATGGCTTCATCTTTGCATTTCTCTTCTTCCTCCATTGAATTAGGGGTGTACGTGCATGTGTGCACGTCTGTATGGGCTGGAAATTCTGAAGGCCTGTCTCTGAATCTCAGAAGATTCAAAATTACATTGCCAGAGGGCACCAATACTCACTGCTAGTGAGACAAGTTGACAGGCACAGTATCCTTGACAGCCATCTTGTCCAGCCTCCTAGTTTGGGCAGAGATGTGGGTGGGAATTCTCGTTTCAGGTAGAAGTTGGACTAGAGGGACCCAGAGGTCCCCAATTCAGGGTCTATTGGATGGCTTGGCCAAGATCACACCACCAGTATGTGCTCAGTCAAGGCTAGAACTTTAGCCTACAGAGTCCTAGTCTAGAACTCCTTCTGTGGTGCCTGGAGGTCATTGGACAAGTGGAGGCTGACCGACCTCTGCAGGACATCATAACTATAGCCTGGCACTTTGCCCAGTCCTCTCTCCCCCAACGCACACATATACCATTTTATTCTTCCTTTGTTATTATCTGAGCCAGCCTTTATTTACCTTTCTGTTGGTCTTTGGGAGTG